TAAGTAGTCAAAAATTAATTGCTGATATTGTATAAAGAAGAACTACAACTTTTGAACAAAGAGAGAGATCGGAAGATACCAATGTACGATAGTGTTGTCGCGTGTGCGGATTCGATTCTGTTACGTGTAACATGCAACAGGTGAGATCAGCTGGCGACGCAATCCTCGCTATCGTCTTATGTTTAATGAACTCTTAATCTACTAAACGGCAAAAAGTTACAGATGTGAGTATACAACTTAACAGATGCGTGGCAATGTGCAATCCGCTATTTGAAACAAAATATTTTAAAGAATTGTATAGAGAAAAATATCTCTCTCTTTTTCTCTCTATCTCTATCTCTTTCTCTCTCTCTCTCTCTAAATTTCGTCAATTTAAAGATATTATATGCACTCATAGTATTTTAATATTGGAAAGTCCTCTTAAGAATGACAAGACTACAAAATATATAAAAACGAAAAATAAGTAATTAGAAATATAAACAAATATAATTGAAAAATAAAGAAGCATTTGCGGAGGATGTCTAAACTGATGATGTAACACGGTAACATTGATGTAATATTGGTAATTAAATGTGTATTTAATATTGTTGCCTACTAAAATAATATATTCTTATACATACAATCTTAAAATTAATTGAATTACATCTGTAGATATTCATATAGTATATCAGTTTACAGTAGTATTATAGTAATTTTTGCGAATACATCAATACGTTTTTGTCATTGAAAATTTAGATCAATGCAAGGATTCATATCCGAAATGATTTTTCTTGAAAATTATGCGATAAATCAGAGGATATATTTTATTTTTACTGGAAAATTTTATTATATTTTTTACTTGTTCTCGCAAAGAATTTTTTTCAGTCTACAAAATTTGCAAAAAGAGACGAAATTTATATAAAAATCCAAAAGAAAAAATCGCATCGATCATGTTACTTGAAAAGATGGTTTCAGAGTGTTACTTTTTTCATATTGGCTTGGTTTCTTTCGCGTATGTGTTACTATAACACGCCTCGTCGAGCAATCTTTGAATCCGCTATTATCTACGTTAACTCAACCGCGTACCGTTAAGATCCATTTGCTCGCATGCTTGTTCCATTCAGGAAAAGTGCGGATTCAATGCGCTTTTATGTCAGCGAATCCAAGCGAATTAATTCAAGGAAGAGAAGGAATTTAACGGAAGTTTTGCTAATTTTTTTCAACGTATTCTTTTAAAACTGATTTATTAATTTTTGTCCCTAAAATTGACAATGTATCCTAAGAGAGATTCTTCTCTATATTTTCTATATAAATCGCATTAATTAAATTTTTAATTTGATACAAAGGAAAGATGGCATTACAAAAAACAATGTTTCTCATTAAATTTATTAATTTCTCGTTTAAAAGTTCTCATAGAACAATTAAATTAATTTAATATTAAAACATTTCTTTTAAATTTAACTGCGCTTATGCTTGTTGCTTATCAAGAAAAAAAAAATTTTTTCTTTAAAATTTAATCCTGTTCGTGTGTTGTAGTAGTAAAGTATAAAATCATGCCACGTATTTTTATGCTTTTACTTAAATATTGCGCACATTTTGAGAAGGAAATGGATTTGCATCCGTTTACATTTGCCTTCGTCAATATTGTATATACAATTTTTGAGCATGAGATGTTATTGGGTTCCCCCTATAACGAGCAGCGGGATACAGACAGACGTTTCCTTGCGTTCCGCACGATTTAAAAGGCGAGAGAGCATCTCTCGTTTGGCGCACATGTGTGTGGGTCTCTCGCGCTCTTTCGATCCTCTCGTGCTATTCTTAAATCCGGCCACCTATCGCGTTTTTAAACGCACTAAACGCTGATTTACGATACCTCACCTTCTCTTCCGAAGGCACGATAAAAGATTATTCTCGGTCTTGGACGAATAACGACGTTCGTGCACTCTTCGCCGAAACTTATGGCTAAGTGCGAAGGCTGATTTGTGTGTTTCGATCTCGCATCTAAGAGATATAAGCAGCTGTTATATAGTTATACACTGAATATGGTTGCAATATACGAAATAAGAGCGAAACAAACGTTACGCAAATTTTATGTAATTTTATAATACTTTTATAACCCTTATTGAGCATCTCGAACACACTATGAAATCAGAGATGAAATATATCTCAAAATTACTATTACCATCGGAATAAATTGGCAAGAAAGGGGAGAGAAAGGATATGATATAATACAGAGAAATAATTTGCCTTTATCGATTTTTCGCAAATTCCTAGATTTTTCATGACGTTCGCGATTATTTCGAGAAACGGCGCTACTCGTCTAAGTAATAATTACACGCTGGAATTATTACACACGGTGGTTATATGCGCAGGTGTGCTGTGTGATGCGTGTGGGTCTCGGATACCGGTCACCCACGCGACGTGCAGTGAGATCACCTTTATACTTTAACTCTTTAGTCACGGCGGCGGCGGTCTGTCGTATCATGGAGCAAAAAATAATGCTTTCGCGAAATGGATCCGCAGGATTCACCTACGAAAATGTACCCCTACGCACTTTGACATCATGCTTTTGTCGGACGGGGGTATCTCCGAAAGAGCGTTATATATAATGTTATACACAATTACATGTAAAATTTTTCCAGATTCGAATTAGATTGAAAAATTAAATCTTTTACAATAAAAATTTTATTTTCTTGCAAAATAATTGTGTTAGCTTCACAACATATAAGATATATACGATTAAGCAAAGAAAATTATTAATATTGCAGAAGAGCCCAATGAAAAATTATATGATTAAATAATCATTTTATATATTATTGGATATATTTATAATAATAATAATGATAAATATAGAATGATAAAATAATGATAATAAATATATAATGATAAAAATATAAAAATAAATATATAATATGATATAATAAAAATGAATATTACATAATAACTTAAAAAACTAATAATATATATAATCAGTTTAAAAAAATAAAATATTTGACAAAAACTCACTAATACCTATGCTCGGTAATATCGTTACTTAAATGGAAAGAAAAAACATGTATCGTTAAATTAACATGCATAAAAATATTATAATTAGTTTGTAAGATCTTTTATGCATTTTTTATATATTCTACGAGAGAAATATCGATTATTAGCAATAGCAATTTTCGTGATATTTGGTCTCGCATTTCCCGCATCGAAAATGGGGAGGACGCGTTTTATAAGGGTTGAATTCGACAACAAACACGTTTCTCTCCGCGTGCAAACGTGTCGGGTTGACAAATTATTCCGATTCGGTCGCTTTAGATTTGTGTTCGTGCACGCACATCGTCATCTTGCGAGACGTTTTAATTTGAGTACATCGGCGCGGAACATGGCACGCAAAGGACGAATCACGAAGAAGTTGAAGGATGTTGATCCTATGTTTAGATATTTTCTTCTTTTGCTGCGGTAATAATTAATGATATAAAAATATCGCGTTCTCGATCGTTTTCCGAAAAATTACAAAAATTGAATACCACGATATTAATTGCTTTCGAGGCTATTGCGGTAGCTATATTAGTGTTAATTCAAGGATGGAGGCGATTAAAAGCGCCGTCGTCGGCGATTTACAGGCAATCTGGGCGCGGCCGGTTGTAATCCCGCAGGCCGGTTCTTGGGTCCGTGTAATTTGAGAGCTTCAGAGAAAGGGTAGACAGCGACATTTCTGGTAAATATCGTGTTCACCACATTATTGGGGGTGGAATCGTTTAACGATAAGAACTTGCCAAACAAACCGAAACGCGAGAAACCTTTTCAAGGACCGCGCGTGAGAAATATATTCTTTCGTCTCCTTATTCGAACATTTGTACGCGTGAATTCACAGAGGACATTTCTTCTCGCTCTTATCCTATTTATCGATTTAAATGATGTGTATTTCTATGTGAAAAATAAAGAAGTGTACGTTGAAGTGCGTAACTAACCAGTTTAGATGTAGCATCTGTGAAATTTGTGGAAATGAAATCGTGAAATCAAAAGTAAATATTGTCAATCCGATTCAGCAATCTGAACGGAAACTCAGTGTAGGATATAATTAGATTTTATGACATTTATATATTTGCAAAATATATACTCTGATTGATTTTTAAAACTAATTTTTCCTTATCAATGTTTTTAAATAAAATTTGAAGGTAAATGAATAATAAAATTTTAATTTTTTATTGTAACTTAAATTTTATATATTTTAATTTAAATTTTATATATGTGATTCAATTATTTAACCACAAAAACGAAGAATTATATAAAAAAAAAATGAAGAACATAATTTCCGAGCGCTTGATTTATGATTAAACTTGTATCTGTGGCACATTTTTATTACCAATAAAATTGACAATAAAATATGCCAATAAATTCAATCTTATGTTTAAGCGCCTTTAAAAAGTCGGAAAAATCTGTGCAATCTATGACACACTTGATAAAGAATTAACGTCGATATTATCGCCACCATTCACCTGGCGAAAAAATGGCATAATACGTACCGTTATAGTATCGCACCATCGAAACTCAGTTTATCAATCACTTGACGATATAATCAGCTGATCGCTTGCGCGCGATTGCCGAGAACTTCTGGAGATCATGGCACGACGAGCCTGCTCATTTATTGCGTCTAATAGTCGGCGTTAATAGCCTCGTCACGAATACCGAGTGCACCGCGCGTCGTGTAATAGAGACATAATCGACTTAACTTTACGCTCGGCTTGCTCGCTCGATCGCCTCTTAATATCACGATCCGAAATAATCGCCGCGGATCTTTGATCCCCGCGTGCGATTATATATTTACGATTTTCCTCACGACCGTTCCTGCCGGCGAAATTGCATCGTATATCGAATTTAGATTATGGCGTGCTATGGCGCACGTCATGCGCAAAATAGTCTCTAGTCCACCGAATGGAACTTCGCGAATAATTTAAAGAGAAATAAAGAGAAAAGAGAATAATTTTTTAAATAAAGAGAATAATTTTTTAATTTTTAAAATTTTTTAACTTTCGAGCAATTTCCGAAGAATATGAATAGACACTGGACGCGGTTTTAAAGATAACGGCAGTAGTTCCATGTTGCTTCAAATAGGTCCATAGATACTCCTTATAAGGGATGATATACACTGTAAAAAATTTTTGTGTAAATTTACAATTATTATAGTGGGTAATATTGAGACCAACTATTAAAGATGTATATTTACATACATTAGTATTATAAATTTACATTTCATAGATAAAATTATTATCTTAAATGATAAGTAAACATTTTGTACTAATAAATTTACATGTTAGAAGTAGATTTCTAGAAATGTTTATGTAATAATACATTTTGTATATGTATTTATATAATTTCACATATTAAATTTAATTTAAAATTACATACATAATTAGTGTAACAATTACGCTACTTATAACGAAAATATATAAATTCATGTACTTTTACAAAAATTAATTATTTTACTCTTTATTGTATAAATATTCGTTTATTAAGTGTAATTTTTAAATTTTATATAAATGTTACAAAAAATTGTACATTTACATAAAATCCAAAATTACACTTTTAACTTTGTAATTTCTCATCAAATATAAACGAATATTTACACAATAAAGAGAGTAAAAAAACTAATTTGTAAAAGTACATGAATTTATATATTTCCGTTATAAATAGCGTAATTGTTGTTACATTGATTATATGTTTAATTGTACATATTTTTTTTTACAGTGTAGAAATAAAATTAAATGAAATGGAAAAATTAAATTTTTTTATTATTTGAATACTTTATATTAAAAAATTTAAAAAATCAAATCAGTTCGATATCGTTTTTCGTATTTTTTTTTATGCAACTGTTTATTTATAATGACACTTATGTGCACTTACAATTTTTGAATAAAAAATTGAATTTTACGAAAAAATAAAATAAGAATTATCGGCGTTACATTAAGTTCAACATCGCAAATAAAATACTTATTTTCTTTTCCCCTTTCTACATATCCTCTTTTCTTATATATTCTAATAAAAAAATTAGTATATATAGGAGAACTAAATTACAAATATTTTTTCTTTTCTCTCTCTATCTGTCAAAAAAGATTTTGTATAATTATAAAATTAAATATATACTTGTCAAACGACGAGAATACGTTGACCTCACCGATCACACGATTATTTTTCGCCGTTACTTGCTTCGATACAAAGTGCACATTTTCACTGTATCGCATCATGTACTCAATCGTATGCTTGTATCCAGCGCGTAGACACGCGATACGTTGTGTACGCGTGTTTGTCTGGCCAAGTGCATACGCATAATCACGTCGTCGTCGCCCCTCGCTTCGTTGCCATCATATGGGAATGTAATGCGTGGGTGAGCGAAGCATGAGGTTTAGAACTTTCTGTAAAAAAAGAAGAAACATATCGTCCTTAGTTTATAAGAAACCTTGCTACGTGTTTTTCACTTAAGCAGGAATATATCATAAAAATTCGCCGTAAAACAACTTTTTATTTCTTTTCACAATCCATGCATTACTTGTATGCTTGATATCAAATTGTTCAATTATCCTTGAAACAGAAAATATGCAGATAAAGTGAATATTTATGTAATATTAACGAATTATACGCAAGTCAAATCGCAAAAAAATATTTTAAACATTTTTACAGAAAAACGTAAAAATGTAAATTTCACAGATGACTATAAAGACGGAGCAAAAATTAAACATGACAGAATATAAGAAGAATATAAAGAAGATCGACCTTGTGTTCAGTGAGATGATCGTGATGTGGCTTGATTGAAAAAACTTGCATATTGGCTTTAAAATTAACTTTTCAGCGTACTTTAGATTTGCATTATTCTAATTTATTCAAGAATATATTCTGAACTGAACATAACGATTTCTGATGTTGCAGGATATTCTGTTTTTAATTTTTCTGATAGACATATAACATCACAGTTGATTTTATAAATTTTGTCGAAGTATTGTCAAAGATTATTAAATTCCAAATTAATTGAAAATTTTTAATAATCTGGGAATTTGTGTAAAATTAATTATTAAAAATTCTTAATTGAAATGCACGTACACTCATATACATATTCTTTTACGTAAATTCTCAATTACTATTACAACATATTATTTACTATTTAATATATATTATAATATATATAATATAATATAATTATAATATATATTATTTACTATTTAATTTAGTATTTGAATTTTATCGTAAACGAAATAATACATTTATGATTAGAATTTCGTAAAAAAACATTTATTAAAAGTATTACAAATATTTAACGTCCATGTTCGCACATAAATCTGACATTATCGGGTAACTGATGTTGGGTAATATTCCTGAGAGACATTGGAAAAAAAATTTCTTTTATTATATAAATTGAAAGGCACATATAGACGCGCGCGTAGGTGTCCATTCATTCGCGACAGACATTCGCGCGCATACATATTTCCGCCGTGGAAATTTGTAATGCGCAATCTATACACGAACCATGGCAAGAAACCATGGCAAGAAACACGTTACTTTATTGTCGTACTTCATCGCAAATATTTTTCTTTACAATAATATATCCTTACAAATATACACAGAAAAAAAGGACATCCTTGTCTTGAAAATATATTTTAACGTGGAAATCTTGAATTGAGATTATATTGCGTTAGTTAAAGAAAAATATAATTGCTTGAATAATTGCCTACTTGAATGAAGCCATTTTATATATTTCAATCGAGAAAAATATATTCTTATGATTGAAGATTTAATTTTCTTGAGTTGAAAAGAAACAATGTTAGATAGAAAATAATATTTTTAAATCAAAGATTATAATTTTCTTAAGTAGAATTAAATAATTATATATTCTCGAGGTGACAATTACAATATTAAAATAAGACTATAATATTGTTGAAATTTAAAATTATTAAATTCTTCTAAGAAGATTACAAATTGTTACGTGTATACGAAACAATGCACACGTTAGTTTAAGTATATAAGTTTTGATTTAACACTTGTTTTTTTTCTGTGTACATATTAATCCTTAATTTCTTCAATATAATCAACTTTATGAAAATATACATTTTAATATTGCTACTTTATTACCATTTATTAAACTACGTATGTCGCAAGAATATCTGTGTATCTTCGATTGACATGTATAATAATAATTAACACTAATAATTATAGCTTAGCATAAAAATTACACATTTGGATAGAGAAATTCTGCCCAAATATTGATTAAACAATGATTTCTCACATACCAAAAATAAATAATCAAGTCATTACGAAAGAATTCGCGAGGAGTAATCGGTCGATGGGTTAAGCAAATAGATACGTGAATGCTTACGTGTCGAGGTATAATAAGGTTATTATCGAATAAATCGATAAATCATCGGCGTGAAAGTCTACTGTCAGTTCGATCAGCTGACATTGACAGCGCACTAGTATGGCGGTGAATCGCTAGCGAATCATCATCCGGGATTTCGAATCTTCCTTCAGTGCGTGCGATCGCGCCTTTTCTTCCGGACGTGTGCGTACGTGCGTGCGTACATTGCTCTTTCTTCTTTATATCATCGCTCCTCTCTCTCTCGCTCGCGTGCGGTTGCTAAATTTAGAGTATGATCGACCGGTCGACGGCCGTCCATGCTATCGGGACAAATAGCCCGGCGATAAAGTCATTCGACAAGCGCTCAAGAACAGGCTGTGAGTCGATGAGAGGGAACATAAAAGATCGAAGCTTCTGGCGAACGCCTCTTTACATCTTTATGTTGCTTTCGTGAACAGAGAGATAGTTGCTTTCGAATAGAGAAATCTTGTGTCTATCTTCTTTAATACAGTAATCCGCGATCGCTAGTGTATTGATTTAATCAATTGGCTGATTGTGTCAGTGAATTTATTTGTGATTTCCATCGCGTTTCTCCATATGTTTCCTACGAGTAGCCTAATCGATCGATACATTCAAGATGGGAGCCAAATGGGAGAATTCGAAGCACGCGAGTGATATTTTTGAGAATAAGGTGCACCAGGATGAGATTTGCCATGATACACGGTGAGTACTCGGAAATAAAAACAAACATTTGAGTCTATAAATTTTTATATTACTATTAATAATTTTTTTCTCAATTTTTCATTCATCTTTGAAGAGGAGAAATATATATAAAATGTTTCAAAAAAATCATATGATCTCATATTTAATTTAAAATTTTAAAAATTATAGCTGTTTTAATATTATTATTATTTTAGCATTTTAATGTAAAATGTAACAAAAATGAGAAATAAAATCAAATATTTAAAATTGAGAAATGAAATATGTTAGAACGGATTATGATCTATCAGTAAAGTTTCAGTGAGAAAAAAATTGTCTTCAAATTTGAAAAATTTATAACTCATTAAATATATCAAATATATCGGATCGATCTGGGACATCTCTTGGATGTAGATAGTTTGGACGAACTATTTAGGTCTGCTTATGTATTTTCGTCGGAATACATTTCGCGGATATTGCCCGAAGGTAATTCGAAAAGCATTTTGGTAGCAGTTATTCTCGGATGCTTGATTTCTACACGTGTCATTGCGCGCATTCAGATGTAAAAGGATTTATGTGTATATCTGTCAGCGAGTTGTTTTAAGTTCTCTTCACAAATGTCTACGTGCTACATTATACTGCAGGTATATTATAATTAGCAGCATAAAGTCATAACAGTCGTAATAATATGATTGTAATATTATGTATTTTCTCCATAAATTAGATATTTAATCAAAATATTCCAAATATTATAAATGATTTAAAATATAATATTTACAAACAGTTCATGAAGGATAAAATCTTTGCATATAAAGGAAATTATAAATGCTAAAAAAATAGCTATTTTAATATATTATTTATTTAATTCACATTTATTGTAGAAATTTATAAATTATAATTTTTATTCACAAGAATAATATTTATCTTATTTTAATAAAAGGAATACAAGCGAACTTCTTCGTTTCCTCTTCACTTTTAAAGAAATATTTTTAATTTTTGAAGAACACCAAAGAGACTTGCAAAATAATTTCTTTGTGACAGTCATACATGTATACGCCGTATATCACGTTCGAACTTAAAGTTCTTTGGCATCGCGCCACACTCGTGATATAGCGCGTGTCTTTACGATCAGGATAAATAAATGCATCGTGCTTGTGACAAACGTACATCATTGTCCGAAATTGCATTTCTAAACCTGGGAGCATATATATAATATTTTCCGATGGTACGCAGCGACCTCGCATATGTAAAACCGTTTGACATGATGAATTTGTTCTATTTTACGATGGGTTACATTAAGACATACATATATAATTATGCTATTCTATCTTTAAAAAAATAGCAAGTAGTTTTTATATATTTTTTTCTCCAATCATTTTTCAAAATATTACGATTTTAATTAAAAAAATATGACCATATACTTGAATTCTTTTTTTTTACAATTTCAAATTTTCGTTTTTTTTTTTTTTTTTTTTTGTAAAAATCTCTAGGCACATTGACTCTATAATATCCAGTGGATAAAATGCCCTGCGGACAACGCGGATTAAGAAATGCTGTGTGTTATATGTGTGTGTGAGTTCTCCACCTTGCATAAATCGTCTTAAGTTATTACTCTGAGACGGAGAAAGGTCCGCACTAAACGTCCCCCCGTGTAATAAAACGCGATAAGTCCGTTAGCAGTCTCGCTGCTAAGGATTCTCCGTCTAGGAAGCCTGCTGGCGAGATTGTATCGTCTTATATAGCACTTTGAAATGCATTTGGTATGTTCAAACGCAAAATGGTTGCGACAATATAATTCTTTATAGATAGAGAGATTAGACCGAAATGATTCTAACCGATCGATCCAGGAAAATCTTGAAAAACATATCCAGAATTTAAATATATTTTATACAGATAACATTATGGATATATAGACAATATTTTTTTATTCACGCCGTTTTTCAGCATGAATAAAAATGTTAGAAATTCTGTGAGATACACTGAAAAAACTGATTGGTAATAATTATCAAATATATTTAGTTGTGAATTTTAATTGAATATTTGATAAATATTACCATATTTTATAATAATTACTAAATCTTCAATTGGTCTAGTTGCAAACAAATTTTGTTTGCAGTTGAATCAATTAAACAATTTAGTAATAATTATTAAATATTTAATACTTATCATAAAAAAATCTTTGATGATTGTTATTAAATATGTATTAAATTGTTGTAATTGTATTACTAAATCATTCAATTTAAGATTATTAGATATTTGATAACTATTATTAAATGATTTAGTTAGGTCAACATGTTTGATACAATAATTGGTAATTATTAACAAATTTTGATAAGATAGTCGTGTAAAGTTTCACGCAAGCACGCAAGA